TTTTTTCAACTTTTTAGATCTTATAAATAATGCTCCTATGAAAATGTGTGTATAATATTTTTTGGAGATGTGCTTTCATTTCTCATGGGTATATGCCTAGGAATGGAATTGCTGGGTAATATAGTAATTCTCTATTTAACATTTTGAAGAACTGCCACAAGTGGCTGGAACATTTTACAATCCCACCAACAATGTATGAGCATTCCAATTTCTCCAGATTGTGCCAACACTTGTTTTTGTCTATCTTTTTTTAATTTAGTCATCCCAATGGGTGTAAGGTTGTGTCTCGTGGTTTTGATTTACATTTCTCTAATTACTATATTGGAGTCCCTGGGTGGTGCAAATGGGTACATGCTCGACTAGTAGCAGAAAGGTTGGCAGTTAGAACTCACCCAGAGGTGCCTTGGAAGAAAGTCCTGACAATCTACTTTGGAAAGATCACAGCCATTAAAACCTCTATGGAGTGCAGTTCTACTCTGAAACACTTTGGGTCGCCATGAGTCAGAATTGACTCAACAGCAATTGATAAATTTTGGGTTTGCTTGTTTTGTTTGTTTGCTTGTTTTAATGACTATGTTTGGCATTTTTATGTAGATTTGTATATCTTTGGAAACATGTCTGTTCAGATTCTTTGCCCATTTTTTTAGCTTTTTGACTTTTTATTGAGTTGTAAGGATTCTTTATATATTCTGGAGATGTACCACTTATCAGATATATTATTTGCATACCCACTGTATGGATTGTCATTTCACTTTCTTCATGGTATTCCTTGAAGCATAAAATATTTGATTTTGATGAAGTTCAATTTTTCCATTTTTTTCTTTTGTCTCTTATGCTATTAGTATCATGTTTAACAAGTATGGCTTAAGCCATCGTCGTGAATATTTATTCTTATATTTGCTTCTAAGAGTTTTGTAGTTTTACAAACTTTTACATTTAGGTCTTGGACCCATTTTGAGTTCATAGTTGTCTATTGTGTGAGGTAGAGGTACAGTCTATTTCATTTGTCTTGATTACTGTAGTTTTGAAGCAAGTTTTTAAATTGGGAAGTGTGAGTCCTCCAACATCATTATTTGTTATCAAGAAGGTTTTGACTGTTCTGGGTTCCCTAAATTTCCCTAGGAATTTTAGGATCATCTTTTCAATTTCCACAAAAAAGACAGCTGAGTTTTTTTTTATAGGGACCGTGTTTAATTTGTAGATCAATCTATATCAACCTGAAAAACAGTTCTTTATTATTTGAAAATATCTCAGTAACAAAAAAGGAGGATATTATGTGTGCTGGGCTTCTGTTGCTGGTGTTATCTATTAACACCCCCATTCCAACTATTAAAAGCAGGTATCTGTCTGATTAGGTAGTGCCTATTCTGCTCAGTTGTTAAATATTTCAGATATTACCTTTGTTTATAAGTATCACTGTTTAGAAAATAAGATTAAATGACAACATTAAAGACATAAATATTACACCAAGGATCTCCAGTATCCTCTTCATATTGAAGTTTTGTTTTTGTTCCTTTAATTTTTTCAAATCCTCACAATTATCTTTTCAATAGGGAAAAGTGAAAACAGAATTGTATTCTCATGATGCAGATAGACATTGGAAAAGACTTCTGGCCAGATTTCAAGAACAAATCTTCATAAATCATAGGGAACACTCCAGTTACAATGAAAGCATATCCACTCTTTAGGATCAATGCACATTCTTCAAGGCCATATTTACCTTTAAGGGAGCTGTGGCCATTATGGTAGGACAAAATATTTTATTATTTCTATTATGAGTATATTAATTGAATTATTAATAATTTATAGATGTAAAAGATGCTCACTACATTTTTCTTGAGATTTAGTGACTGTTTTTGTAACGTGCAAAATTAAACTTTAAATAACTATGAAATATAAAGTCTATATGGGTTAAGAATTGTTAAAATTTAGAAATATAAACATATTTTTCAGTATTAGAAAACAATATAAAATTATATGAAAATGAGAAGCTGTAGAGAGATTTTGAGATATAACCTCAAAAATAGTGGGGCGGGGGCGATGAAAGAAGTAGAAGAGAAATAACACTGTAAAAGTTAATGGGGTTCAGTAAAGAAAACATACTAAAGATGATATAGCTATGAAGGGAGAAATACCATTATAAATCATTTTATAAGAATGTGTTTCAATATTAACATAACAGTAGGTAGATAGCAATGAAATTTTGAGCTCAGATCTAGTTCCAGCTTAGTCACTAAATTGGGGTTTTCAGCAAGTAAGGTGTTTTTTTAGCTTTCATGAGCCTTAGGCTGTCAGTCTTAAAAATGCCCCCTACCAGGCTATAAAGTAAGAGTACCAATGGAAAAATCTTGAGTTCATTCAACTTCAGTTATAAATGTAATGTAAGTAGTCTTTGTAGATACAGTAATCTTAATATAGTAAAATTAATAATCTAGTAATATAAATAATCTTAATATAATAATCACGTTTTAGTACTATTATTACTTAAACTAGAGGTATGTATATGTATTATTCTGCATTTAAAAACATGATATTGCTATTTCTATTAATATTTTATTTTTTAAGAAAACTGAATCAGTAAGAGGCTGAGATTGTAATAGTAAGCTTAGGAAACTTCATTATATCATGATGTTCTAAAGAACCTGTTGCCAGAAAAGAGACCAGAAGGTGAAAACAGCTGTGTGGAAAGGCACCAGAGAAATCAAGCCTCAGAAAACAGAGTGAAAGTAGCCTGGTGATGAGGAGTTTCTAGAGGGAATACTTTAAATAACAACAGCCTCAGCAGAGGGAGGGGAAAATGCATACATGAATAAAGAAAAGAGGGAGACAGACACCTAGTTGGGCTTGTTTTTTTAAGTTGGATGAACAAAGAGGTTTACAAAGTTCAGGTATTTAATGAGCTGACTGCTTTGATAGTGAAACAGCTGAGCTGTCAGATTTAGATGTCTTTAAAATGCAGGAAAGGGATTTTGACAGAGGTAGGTGTAAACACAGAGACTTCTAATTTAAAAAAAAAAAAAAGTGTTTGAAAGTATGCCCTATTGAAATTCAAGTGGGAATGCCTTATTTAATATAAATTATCAACTTTAAGTTGATATCTACCTAGGAATGAAAGTTCATATTTTAATGGTCACCTGAGATAAGACACCTTCAGAATAAAATATTTCCTTCTAATTATAATTTTAAAGACTTTTTTGCATAAAAATAGATATGTAATTACAAACATTAACAGAAGAATACATGTTCATTGTGGAAAATCCAACAAATGTGAATATGTAGAGTGTAGAGGAAAGAATATTTCTCCTTCACTGCCCCCTCAGTCCACTCCCCTCCAGTAAAGTAACAATTAACTATATTTAGAAATTCCTTCTGGACTCTTACGTATTTTATATATATATAAGATATATTTTATATTTATATATGCACATAATTTTAGGCTTTTTCATAAATATATTATATAATTCTGCAATTGCTTTATTTTTATTTACAGTCTTCAAGAAATTTACACATCAGTACATATAGGTCTACCTCATTTTTTTAACCACTGCTTAGTATTCCATACAATAGATTAATTACAATGTATTTAGTCAATCTTTTCTTGAGGAACATTTAGGTTGTTTCTAAATCTTTTATCATATCAAATATGATCTTTTATCAAATATAATTTCAGGGATTTATAATAAAGCAATTTAATTTTTAAATTACTATCTTCAAGCTAATGGCAAAGCAATGTTGCATATTCTTTTCTCTTTCAAAAACATTTTATCCTCTGTAAAACTCCTTTGATTTAATTTTCACTGCTTGAGTTCTGACTAAATTGAACTAATTATGAGAGAGGAGAATTGAAGGAAAAGTCTCAACAAATCTTTTCAATAGATGCAAGTTCTCTAAAATTCCAGCTAGGTTTTAAGTGTCATGATCCTTATAATGGCATAATGGACAGAGAACAAGTTTAGCCTTAAGTCTTAACTGTGTTCGAAGCTCATTTCTATCAGTAGTGGTATTTTTGTGCCTTGGAGTCCTCATCTAAAGAAAATAATATCTATCTTGATTTGTAACTCCAAGGAATAAATAAGGAATATCCCTGACACAGAAAATGCATTAAATACATTTTAGTTCCTTCTTTCTAATAGGTACTCACTAAATACAAAAAAAAAAAACCATTGAAATCCGTTGGTTTTAGTGTTGGTGTGTTTGTGTTTGTGTTTGCATGCTTGCGTGTGTGCTTATCCCTTCCCCTCAAAAATTTTAAAATATAAAATACTTCTATTAATTTGTTTACTATATACCTGATAAGGAACTAGAGTCTAAAACTGATCTGGGATTTTTTTTTTTCTAAACCAGTGTCTGGATCAGTAGAGGGTCAACGAAAGAGAGGAAGACCCTCACATAGATGGATTGACACAGTGGCTGCAATAATGGGCTTGAGCATGGCAATGACTGTGATGATGGTGCAGGACTGGGCAGTGTTTTGATCTGTTGTACATGGGGTTGCTATGAGTTGGAACCAACTCAACGGCATCTAACAATAACAACACCTGGATCAGTTAAATAATTACTTTGACCACTTGCTATCTTTACTATGAAAACCAGTGCTAGATTGTTACTAAATGTCTATGTCAGTGAGTGGTTCTCCATGTGTAGTCCACAGACCAGCACCATCATCTAGTATATTATTGGAAATGCAAACTGGATCCCATCCCAAACCCACTGAATCAAAAGTTCTGGGGGTTAGGCCCAGAAATGTGTTTTTTGACAAGTTCTACAGGTGATTCTGATGCATGCTCAAGGTGGAGAACAACAGGTGTAATCTTTAAAAGATAAGTACTAAAATGAGAGCTGTTATTCATGTCACTAGTTATAACCTAATAAATAATATACATTCCAAACAATACACTTGTAATATGTCAAGGGAAAGTTTACACATCATAATGATAGAGAATTAAAAATAGCGACATGCATTTTATTTTGTCAAATTTCCCTGCAGATTAGTATATTACCTGTGCTGCCTTTCACCCAGGTTTCAGAAATGACACTCTTACTAAGTGTCTTCAGATGATCATCAGTTAGCTGAGAGGTTAAATCTGGAACCAATTTCAGCATCTTCCACACAGTGTGGTGTTCATACGTAGTCCTGTGAACAGGCCTTAAAAAAAAAAAAAAAAGAGCAAATTCAGAGACCACAGCATAATTGCAAAGAAACAAATAAAAAAATCATTGATTTTTGAGCTTCCGTATTTGTATTTCCCTTCTATTTAAGAGTTGTTTAAGAAGAACTTTGATGATACTATAACTTTTCTTACTAACTATAGAAATTGCTCCCTTTCCAACATTAAGATGCAACGTTAAGATACTTGAAACTTTTGGAAATTCCATACTACTTTCTCTTTCTTTTTATAAAAAACTCAGTGCTTCAACTGTAAGATTGTATTTTTCAGTCTAATCTTTAAGAGCTATTGTGAAAATCAAGTTTAATACAAGAAAAGGGATATAAATAGGGTGTTCATACACAGGGGTTTGACAGAGACAATCCCAGTTTACACCTGTTATCCTGCTGGACCATCTGTAACATGTGTGTCTGAGCAGGGGGGTGGAGGGATGTATACCGGATGATGATATAATTTTTTTTTTTTAATTATTGTGGGTTATAGCAAAAATATATTGAAAAAACATTGCTTAACTAGTTAGTCTTCACAAATAATCTTGAGGAAACTGACTCCCTACTTAACAGCATTTATAAATTTGGACTTCAGTTGCAAATGATAAAGAATTAATAATCCATCTTGGAAGAAGTATAACTAGAATGCTGCTTAGAAACAAGGATGGCGAGACTACATCTCACATGCTTTGGACATGTTATCGGGAGAGATCAGTTCTTGGAGAAGGATATTATGCTTGGTAAAGCAGAGGGCCAGGCTAAAATAGGAAGACCCTGAAGGAGATGGATGACACAGTGGCTGCAACAATGGGCTCAAGCGTAACAATGATTACAATGATTGTGAGGATGATGCAGGACCGGGCAGTGTTTCATCCTGTTGTACGTGGAGTGCTATGAGTCGGAACCGACTTGACAGCACCTAACAACAACAACATCAGAAGTGGCATGGTATCATAATCAAAGTCTAAAATATGTGGCAGTGACTTAGCAGCCAAGCAGGAAGTGGCAATGAAATAATTTCACAGACAGACTAAAAAGGTGGAGATACATTTTTTAATGGCAGAATATTTGATGTATTGGTTACCTGCAATAATTTGGATGACAGAACAAGTGCCTAGGTAGCTTATTACTTAATGGGAAGTAGTTGGAAAAAACCAGAATGTTACTGTGGTTTGTTTACTCAGTGTTGCTTGTTTATAGCTATGTGTTATTAACTGGAGACAACTGACTAGTTTTCAAGTATAAATGAAAAGGAATAGTTAGGATTGAGAAATGTGAACCATAATTGTAAAAGCCACATGCAGCAAGAAAAGGTTTTCAAAGACCTTGACTTTCAAAAACCTATCATTTTTTAAGAATTATCTATATAGGATCAAATTGACAACATCACCTCAAAAGAACAGATAGAAAAATTAGGGGCAGTGAGTTTCTGTTAATGGGAGAGGAGCAACTTAGAAAAGGAAGATGAAAATGGTTGCACGACTTGAAGAATGCAATCAATGTCACTGAAGTGCACATGTAGAAACAGTTGAATTGGTGTATGTTTTTCTGTGTATATTCTCAACAATAAAATATAATTTAAAAACAAAGGAATAAAAATAACATAGAGTACAAGGGACAAATAGGAAAAAAATAGTAAAATGGTAGATAAAAATTCATGTACAAAGGTCTAATTGAAAGTTTTGCCTTCTCATCCAAGTCTGTTTTTTCAGAAGACCTTAAGGTAGCCTCCATTAAGAAAGGCAAGCACAGAGAAAGTAAGCATAGAAATAAGCAAAGACTTAGAAACAATACCCAGAAAACAACAGTGGCTTTGGTTACTGGGATGTAGAAGACTGGCATGTAGAGACAAATAAATCAGAAACCTGATCTGTTTTGGGGGGATTTGTATCACCAAAAGAATCCAAGAGTCTGGTCTAATTAGGTTTTTGATTCATTGAACTTTCCAACAATCCTTAGACCAAAATTAGCCAAAGCAAAAAGAAATTGTGTAACACTCCTTGCCATTCAAGGGAGCATATTCTCCAATCCTCTTGCCAGATTTGGCCATGGAGATAAGAGACAAGGGAAAACCTCACAAATAGTGGAGTTAAGAGAAGTTCCTCCAAAAAAACAGATCCAGATTTAATTTTAAAAACTTCTAATACCACTATTGAGAAGGCTTTTATAATGTCTGCCCCACAAAACAAAACTTTTTATGGATGAATGACTATAATGTATTTCCATGTCTTCCTTTTTCTAAATGTGAATTTTCATTGAAGATAGCCTATCCCTGCTCCACCACTGCATATTGTGTAGGAGGACAGCGACAGATAATGTTTTTCTCTGGTTTTTAGCTAATAGACCAGAAATAGCTACATTCGTTCTTTCTGGAGAAGAGGGAATATTCTCCAAGATCCTAAACTCTGAGATGCAATAGTGAATAAAAATGCAGGTTTTGTCTTTTGGTGAGATAGTAACTATATGTGGTGGAAGAAGGGTACGTGTGGGTAGTTGATAATCAGAAAGGCAAACTACTGGAAAGATGCTAGCTGTTTGAGAAGTGATTCTCCCTATATCTAGACACATAGCTAGAATGATTTCCCAGTCACCCTTATTGTGACTATATGACTGAGTTCTACACTCCCCCCCCCAAAAAAATGCCAAATCTGTTGCCATCAAGTTGATTCTGACTCATAGCAACCCTGTGGGACAGAGTAGAACTGCCCCATAGGGTTTCCAAGGAATGGCTGGTGGATTCGAACTACTGACCTTTTGGTTAGCAGGAGAGCTCTTAACCACTGCACTACCAGGGCTGTACCCAATAGGATATTAACAGTAGAAGAAGTTAAGGGTGGCCATTGCATGGTCGAATTTTATAAATACTGCATTTGAATCTGAAAAGAATGTGTACACTATTAGGTAGAAAACGATACACATACACATATATGCATACATACACATACATACACACATATATCAAAATATATTGACATACATATATCAAAACACATATAAACAATATGTATGTAAATTGTATATATACATATATATGCATGTGTGAATGTATGTGTGCATGCCTGTACATACATGTACATATAAACAAGTGCTAGCACATTTATAACACTATGTGCCAGACACTCTTTATATAGATTAATATACTAATATAATACCTTATAACAAACCCATTCCCATTTAACAAATAGCAACACTAATGCACAAACTTTTTAAATAACTTATCCAAGATCTGATGGCTAGTCAGTGGCAGAGCTAAGTGACAGTGGTAGAATCCAGGCAACTTTGCCCTGGACTCTATGTTCTTAACCACTGTGCTATGCTTTAACCTATTACTATTATTATTCTGATGTTCTATATCTCTATTCATAGAATGCTACATTGAAGTCATTTTCCTGTGGCACTTTGAATATATCATAGGAAGTTGGCTTTTTTTTTTTTTTTTTTTTTGGAGAATCGCTTTTACAAATGAGTTGCTTTTCTTTTGATGATTCAAGATTCTCTTTTTCTTCAACATTTGACAATTTGAGTGTGATGTTTTGGAGCTCTCAGAGTTTATCCTACTTGGCTTCTTGGATGTGAAGATTGTTTTTCATCAAAATGGGAATTTTTAGGCCTTTATTTCTTCAAATATTCTTCTGCCCCTTTTCTCTCTCTTCTCCTTCTGGGACTCCAATAATGCATATACACTGGTACAACTATAATCTTAATTCACCTATCTTCAAGTTTGCTGACTCTTCCTTCTGCCAGCTCATATCTTCTGTCTAACCGCTTTAGTGATATTTTTTCATTTCCATTACTATAATTTTCAAATCCAGAATTTTTATTTGGCTTGTTTCTGTTTTTTTGTTTTTGTTTTTAGTACTTTCTGTCTATTGATATTCTATATTTGATGAGACATCATTGTCAAAATTTAATTCTTTATACATGGTTTCTTTAGTTCTTTGATCGTATTTATAATAGGTGATTTAAACTCTTTGGCAGTTAAACTTAACGTTTGGCTTACCTTGGCTAATATTTCTATTCACTGCTTTTGTTCCTGTCTATGGGCCATATTTTCATTTTTCTTTGTGTGTCTTATTATTTTTTGTTGTTGAAAACTGGCAATGAATTGTTGTTGCTTTTTATTTGTTCAATTACTTTCTTGTATTAATTATGTAAAGTTTGTATTTCCTTTAGTGTGCGGTCATTGAAGTCTCTGCTTAGTGTACTGGTCATCTAACAATTGGCCAGAGAGTTTCTTAAACGACTTTAACCAATAAGTCCTTTGCCTTTTACTGACGGGCTCTGTATGTTGGATGTTATGCTTTCCATTAATTCTTTAGATATGGTTTCCTTTGTTTCTTTGAACCTATGCATAATAAATAGTTCATTTAAAGTCTTTATCTATTAAGCCCAACATTGGAATCCCCTCAGGACAGTTTCTGTGGCTTCTTTTTGTTCCTGTGTGTGGGCTATACTTTCGTATTTCTTTGCATAACTCATAATTTTTCATTGAAAACCAAACATTTGCAATAATATAATATGCCACCTCTGGAAATAAGTTTTCTCCTCCTCCAAGGGTAAAACAACGACAATGCCCTCTAAATGAAGCTTTCTCAGGGAGTTGCCAGACAGTTCATACTGTGGTAATGCTCTGGAGAAAGAGTTTTCTGAGAAACTCGCAAGCTGGCCTTCCCTCTCCAGTGGCTGCAAGGCTGCTGTTTTCCACAGCTACTGTGATTGAGAAAGGCTGCTGGTTTTCAAGGCTATCACAGAATTTGGGAAAAGAGGACTTAAGTAAGTCAAGATAAAATGTTATAGACTCTACTTTTCTTGGGGCAGTTCAACTATTTTTCTTGAATAAACACTCTCTCTTCAGATTGTTACAAGCCTTTGATTAATTTCTAGAGTTCTGAAAAATTTTATTTTTATACTATTGTCCAGTATCTTATTGTTTTTATGGAGGAGAATGATTTAGGGAAGTCCTCACTCTACCATTCCAGAAATCCTGC